TCCAGAGAAGGAAAACAGAATTGCCCTATACAAACAGATCTCATTTCCAACTACTCTATTCCCTATACATTCTGCTCTTGCCATGCCAATCTTAATAGTGTTCTTCAAACAGGCACTTTCTTCTTCATACTTGGAACACTCTTCCCCCAGATACACGCAAGGCTAGCTCCCTTACCTTCTTTAAATCTTTGCTCAAATATCACCTTCTCAGTGAGGACTTAGCTGACTACTTAAATTGTCATCCTCATACCTTCTATCATCCTTCCTTGCTTTTTCAGTGTTCATTACCATCTGATGCGCTATGTTGTTTTTAAGTGCCTTCAAATTGGTTCCAATTCAGTAACTCTGCAAACAACACACAAAACACTGCCTAGGCCTGCATCATCCTCATAATCATTGCTATGCTTGAACCCATTATTGCAGCTACTGTGTCAATCCATGTCATCAGGATCTTTCTCTTTTTCACTGACCCTCTACTTTTCCAAGCATGATTTCCTTCTCCAGAGACTGATCCTTCCCAGTAACATGCTCAAATATATTTTGCTCTATATTCTGCTTATTAGCTTGGTCAGTTCCCTTGCCCAAAGAGCAGAAGTTATCTGCTCATCTCCAGATTCTAAAACAGTACCTGCACAAGGTAAGTATGTAATAAATATTTGTTGATAAACTGATAGAATAAATGAACAAAAAGGATTTCTCTCTTGAAATAGCTTGCTGTTGTTGTTAAGTGCCGTCGAGTCGTCTCCGACTCATAGCGACCCCACGCACAGCAGAACGAAACACTGCCTGATCCTGCGCCAGCCCCACAGTCCCTGCTATACTTGAGCCCATCATCTCAGCCACCATGTTAATCCATCTCGTTGAAGGCCTCCCCCTCTTTCGTCAACCCTCCACCCTACCAAGCATGACATCCTTCTCCAGGGAATAGCTTAGGCTCTAGCAAAAAAAAACCAACCGCACTCCTGTCAAGTCGGATCTGACTCACAGTAACCCCTCCTCGGATTTCTGAGGTGATATCACTACGGAAGTAGACTGCCCAACCTTCCTTCCGAGAAGTGGCTGGTGGGTTTGAACCGCCAGCTTTCTGGTTAGCAGTCAAATGCCTTATGCACTACGCTACCAGAGCTCCCAAGGGTCTTGCAAAGGAAGAAAACATATAAACAAATTATCTTAAATTATTTCTGAAAGGCAAAAATAAACACACAGTTGACAAAAAATTAAATCCAATATATGAAAAACTAATACATAAAAACAGCACATGACATCCCCACTTCTATACTGCCAGTGACCACTAAAACAAAAAAACTCACTGCCATTGAGTCGATTCCAACTCATAGTGACCCCTTTTTGGGTTTCTGAGGCCACATCTCATAGAAGTACATTGCCCAGTCTTCTGGAAGTGGCTGGTGGGTTTGAACCACCAGCCTTCTGGTTAGCAGTCAAATGCCTTAAGCACTACGCCACTAGAGCTCCCACTAAATTCTTCTTTTTACACTTTCTAGATGCTTCTTTTTACATCTTCCAGCAACCCACATAACGTATCACTCATACAATGGCCAAAAACATCACCAGAGCTGCTACTGATGCCAGGAACTGCCTACTCCCATTAACCTTCAGATCCTCAAAACCCAACCCACTGCCTTTGAGTCAATTCTAACTCACAGAGATCTATAGGACAGAGTAGAACTGCCCCATAGGATTTTCAAGGCTGTAACCTTCATGGAAGGAGCTCTGATAGCATTGTGCCTAAGGCACTTGACTGCTTTGCAGAAGGCTGGCGCTTCCAACCCACCAGCCACTCCTCAGAAGGAAGGTTGGGCAATCTACTTCCATAGTGATACCACCTCGAAAACCCAAGGAGAGGTCACCATGACTTGGATGCAACTCCACAGCACATAACAACAACAACAACAAACCTTCATGGATGCAGACTGCCAAATCTTTCTACCAAGGAGCAGCTGGTGGGTTCAAACTGCCCACCTTTCAGTTAGCAGCAGAGTGATTAACCTCTGCACCACCAACTTCCTTACTAATCTTCAGAGCTATCTGCTAAATAAAAGCCAAGGTTATTTCTGTTTCTACTGCTGGACAAGAGAAAGATGGTACAGTCCTCCCAAGTTATCTGCAATAGATTGTACAGGGCCCACCCACACCAAAATCTGCAAATGCTCAAATCCCTTTTATAAAATGGCATAGTATTAGCATATAACCTACACACATCCTCCTGTATACTTTAAATTCTATCTAGATTACTTATCATTTATAACAAATACAATGCAATTGCTACCTAAATAACACTTTACTTTCCCTCTTAGCTTTTGAAGGACTGCTTCAACCACTTAATTGCTTCCCCCTTCACCAATATTTTCCATCCCTGGTTGATTAAATCTGGGAATATAGAAGGCAAACTGTATTCCCAGATTTCCAAATTAAATACATTTCTCTGTAGAATGGTTAAATTCTTTACTACGTTAAGTCATTACACTGATTTTATGGATTAGCCAGGAAGCCTAGTATTTTGAATACTTCTAAATTATTACTTGTGAAAATGAAAATGTTTTAATTCAATTACCTTGTAAATTAACTACTGGAACATCCCTTTTCTTCAGTAACAATGGATGGCACTGACAATGGTTAAAAGAAAAATTCTTTTAATAAAAGCCAGTACTACACTTTTGGCAAAAGGATAATTGTTGTTGTTGTTATGCGCCGTAGAGTTGGACCCGACTCAGAGCGACCCCCTCCTTGGGTCTCCGAGGCAGTATCACCTATGGAAATAGATTGCCCCATCGTTCTTCAGAGGAGTGGCTGGTGGGTTTGAACCGCCAGCCTTCTGGTTAGCAGTCAACTGCCTTAGGCACTATGCTACTAGAGGGTAACAATGTCAAATTTATATTATTCTTTTCACTCAGAAAAGAATTTAAAATAATTTCACAGTAAGAATTTTATCCTAGATTAAAAAATGATGTAGAATCTTTACATAGAACACTTGTTTTTGCTGGTGGTAGTTTCCATCAAGTCGATTCTGACTCTTGGGAGACCTATGTGTGCAGACTAGAACTGCTACATAAGATTTTCAAGGCTGTGTCCTCTCAGAAGCAAATTACCAGGCCTTTCTTCCACCACATCCCTGTGTGGGTTCAAATCACCAATTTCTCTGCTAAGAGTCAAGAACTCAGCCATTTCAGACAGCCAGGGATTCCACATAGAGCATCAGTGCTTAAATTATTCCAAACCAAAATCAAATAGGAGTAGTAGAAAATATTCTTTTATCTCTAACAAAACTACTTAAGGAAACTAAAAATAAATTCAAGATGTCTCACTTCAACTAAAAACTACACATAGCATTATCATATTAGGCAAACTGACACTTTTACATTTAACTGTTAATGGCAGGAATGATTTCCATCTGGGATTTATCTATATAAAAGTGTTAGCTTGGCACAATTTCAATATTTAATTGAAAGTTCATTTCTGGTTATAGGAAAATGTCTCAATAAAACACAACAGTTGTATCTCTACCCTAGTCCTAGTCTGTATTTTGCCGATTGGTGAATTTAGCCCTCAGAAAGATACATGCACCTGTGATCCTCTCAATCGTTAATAAACTACTGACCTTCACTAGTTTAAAACCTTCTGCACTTTCAACACTACTTACAGTTCTAAAAGAAGAGCTTTACAAATATTACCATTCTCCGTAAGTAGAGTAACTTTATATTCACATATAGAAAGATGCCAAAGCAGCAGCTGAAATAATAACTCAGTTATAGACCCACAGTTCTTATCTGTCAACCACAAATAATGTCACCAATTATTTCGGGAATAAATAATTTACAGCCACTAGGGAAAAAGTCTGACAAAAATGTGAGGTTCTCGCTTATCTTTCTCTTTAATAAGCAGACACCTGAAAGTCACACTAGTCATGTCGAAACATACACGAGACACTGCACAGAACATGCAGTTATCAAAACGCCGGAAGCTAAAGTTCCTGCACTAAGAGGATCACAGTGAAAACAGCAGCCCATCTGTTCACAGGAGAACAGAAAGAAGTCCACCAGGAAAGGCTGTTTCAGAGTCAGGGAGGTGGAGCTACGAGAAGAACGAGCTCCCCGGTGGCAGCTTCAGAGACTAACCGAAGCCACGGACAGCAGGAAGGCAAAAGCTGAGGGCTGGCTCGCAGGGATGGGTTGGGGCGCAGGTGTGTTGCGGTTGCCCCCGGCCAGGGCCAGGTACCGGGAAGTCTCCAGGGCCTCGCCCGCGCAGCCAGAAAGCCACCCAGCTCACAGACGGGCGGAGCAGCCGCCTAAGTAGAGCCACGTCGGAGAATGGGAAAGCGGCGGGGAGGTGGACATCCTGCACTCCCTCTGGGAGGCTGACAGCCCAGGCGCGCAAGACGGCTGGGGCGCGAGAAGGGCCGCAGCACGCCTGAGGGGGTCGCCCTGAGGAAAAGGCGCTGGGCGCTGCCCGCCACCAACGAATGACTCCCTCTCGCACAGATCGGCAGCAGCTGGATACTCACGTAGGGTTGGTAGAACTTGGAGAGCCGCGGCTTCCCGTGGTTGTTGAAGATGAGGATCGCCTTGATCATGGCTGGGCCGGGCCGACCGGGTGGGCGCTGGGGGCCAGGGCGGGGGCGGGCACGCGAGCCTCGCCTTAGGATCTTCCAGGCGATCCTTCCCCACCCGCCCCCTCCCGCACGCGCGCGCTCGCTCCCGAGCCTCTGGGCGGGGCCGGGATGGGGCGGGGCAAGGCAGGCGTGGAGGGAAGCGGAAGCATCTCCAGTTCCGAGTTGAGGGACGCTTGCGCGGACTGCGTTGCGGTTGGCGGTGGAGGGTGTTGCCCACCGTCCCACGCCTGAGGCTTGTGCTGCAGGGAAACAATGATTGCCTTTTATTAATAGCCCGAGATCTGCTACCGGTTCTCTATAGTAGATGAGTTAGGAAGTCAAACTTTCGCTGTTGGATCTCCCTATTCCGGGCACCTCTACCCCATGTAAAGCCCGCCCCCTGCACGTGCACAGCCGCCACTTCCGCTTTCTCGTCCCATCGAGCAAGATGGCAGAGGAGCCGGAGTCGGTGCTGCAGCTCCCTCCCTCGACTGCTTCTGGTGGCGAAGGACTTTCGGAGGTCTCCCCAGAAACCGTCACCCCTGAGCCCCCTTCTTCCGCTGCGGTTTCCCCAGGAACAGAGGAACCTGCCGGAGACATCAAGAAAAAAAGTAAATTTAATAGCAGTTTCGTTTTGGGCAGAGTGGGAGGTTTCTTTTGCGTCTGAGCATGGAGGCCAATAAAATAAAATTTAGAGGAGGATCTGTCCCAGACCTGCTTTTTCACCAGTCAGTAGATAGGAAATGTCGTATTTAAGTACTTGAATAGGGATTTAAGGTTATAGGGATAGCCAGTGACAGAGTCTGGATGAGACTCCACGTCTTCAGACCATTGTGTTGTTTTCTTCATTCAATTGCTGTAGATAATTTCTTAAACCAAAAACCTGACATCGTACCCATTGTGAAGAATGCTACTCATTCAAAAAAACTCAACTGCTGCAGAGTTGGATCCGACTCAAAGCGACTCTTTCTAGTTTCTGAGGCAGTATCACTAGGGAAGTAGATTGCCCAACCTTCCTTCCGAGGAGTGGCTTGGTGGGTTTGAACCGCCAGCTTTCTGGTTAGCATTCAGATGCCTTAGGCACTATGCCAAAAGACTAAACGCGTAGATCTCGCCCTTAAAAAAAAAAAAAAAACCTACCCTTTTAGAATTTTTGTGAGTTATTTCATTCCTTGAATTAGCTGTTACCAACTTTGATTGCTTGAGAGTAGTTCGCTGTTGTAAAATTCCTAAGGCTAAATTGCCCTAGACCACTCTGTAGAGCTGTCTGTGGGAAAAGCTGCAAATATCTATGGTATGAAAACATTAGCCTTGGCCTTATAATAGAGCTTAAATTCTAAAGCTCTTAGGTTTGTGGAAGGCTGTGGTCTGCAGTGGGAGCCCTAACTCCATTTTGAGGCTTGACATAAGTTCAGGTTCTTACTGACCATTAAGTGGTGTGTGTGTGGATAGTGGCTTTGCGCACAAAGTTCTAGGATGAACGTAGGGCAGGGCACTTTGCCTTCAGGAAGAGTGTGGTTGAAAGTAGATTATGCTGACACAAGGAACTAGGGAACAAGTGTGTCTTTTTCTAATTTCATTGAGGTTGGGGTCTTGTTTGGTAGCCACCTTGTGGCTAGGACTCAGGCTGCTTGGTCATGAGTCCCAGCCTATCCAGACCACCACCTAGCCAGATAATGAAGGCCCAGAACTAATCCTGTAACCAAGCCTTTTCTATCTTCAATTCCCAATAATGGTCTTTTCCCTTTTTCTGTAGTCCTACCTGCAACAGTGACGAGTCAATCTGCCACCAATCATGATTTTGTGATGATTCCCTATTTTTTTCAGTCATACGTAATTAGCCTCATGGCCATGAATAAGTGGGCTCCATTCAGCTTTCTGTATTCTGTACATTCTGATGGTTTCTCTCATCCTGGATGGTTGCCTTTGTTTTGTCTTTATCCTGTCCAAGACTTAATAAAAGTGTCTCTATTCAGTGTGTTTGAATCTGGGATCTCTTTCCTCCATTACAGCCTTTAGACGTTTTCTCGGGCCACAGTCTTTAAATGTAGGTGCGTCATGTTTTCTGCTCAGTCCCTCTGTCTTTGGGCTACATTTTCTGTTGCTGTGGATAATTGTCTTTCAAAATGTTGTAGTTGCCATAGAGCTGATCTCGACTCATTACGATCTCATGTGTAGGGTTTTCAAGGCTGTGACCTTCCAGAAGCAGGTCGCCAAGCTCTTATTCCAAAGCACCACTAAGTGGGTTCTGACCACCAATCTTTCAGTAGTAAGGAGTCAGAACCAACTGGACAGCAACTTGTTAATCAGTAGTCGAGTGTTTAGCTGCTTCTGCCACCTGGAGACTCCTTGTGTCTCCCATTACTTCTGCCTATTTAAGTCTGACTGTCTCTCCATTTGGGGAAAATCTGTCTTTCCACATGATGAACTAGTAGAGAAACAAACCTGTTAGATCTATAGATAACCACTGCAGTCTTTCTTCAGATGAGCCCCACGGGTTTTATGGTTTTGGATTCCATTTCTTCCTCCATTTTTTTCTCCATTTTACAGTAAGTAGGAGTGCACAAGGTTTGAGATCTCATAGGCTTGGTCAGAAGCTTAGCTCATGACCCTGAAGGTAACTCTGAATAAGAGTGTAAAGATTTATGACCCACATCCAGATAATGGCCTAAGGCCATGGTTTATTTGGTCTGCCTTATATATGTCTGTCCACAGGTGTGTGTTTTGTGTTTTTTAATGTAACCTTCAGTTGAAAATCAGATTCTCGTTTTCTGGCTCCTGCTAGTATTTGAGTTTGTGACCCCTGATCTAAAACTTAATTATCTAGCTATTGAATCCCTACCCTGACTGTCATTCTGGAACCTCTTCTTGTGAAAAAAAAAATCTTAAATATTCATATGCTACACCTTTGGTTTAGTCCACAAAAGAAAGAAAGGAATCTTGAAACAGACTGACGTGGTTGGCTCTGGCTGCACATTAGGATAACTTGGGGAGCTTTCCAAACTAAACTGTCAATATCCAGGCACCACTTAGGAAGGTTCTGGTTTAATTGATAAAGACACCTGCACTCTTGTAAATCTCCCAGTTGATTCTAATGTGCAACCAAGATTGGGAACTGTAAGCAAATTACCTTTAGAATTAAACAAAAAGACGACAGCTATAAATACAATGTTTTTCCCTCTCTAGCTTTCTTTTCTCATTAGCACAAATTGGAGTATGTTCTGAATTGCCTAATTGTTGACTTGCAACTGAGTTACTGGTAGCTCCAAGTACTTGAAGGGAGCAAGAAAGGGAGATAAGGTGGGTTAGCCAAAAACCAGGGAGCTCTGGTAGCGTAGTGGCTAAGGAACTTGACTGCTAACCAGAAGGCTGGCGGTTCAAACCCACCAGCCACTCCCCAGAAGGAAGATGGGGCAATCTACTTCCGTAGTGATACTGCCCCGGAAACCCAAGGAGGGGTCACTATGACTCAGATCCAACTCAACAGCACATAACAACAACAACAACAACAGCCAAAAACCGTTAGTAATCTCCAGCCTTCCTCGTCAGAAGATAACAGGAGTTAGAATAATTAGGTAGTTTTTTAAAAGGAAAATAAACTGTATCATATGTTCTAGTTGACTTCATTCCAGAGGTAAACTTGAATAAATTGGTCTGGATAGCACTGGGTCCCAATTTTAAATACCAAAGAATAGAGCAAGAAAGATGTACAAGTATCCCTTGATTTTTGAAAGTTCACTGTACACCGCTTCAGTTTTATGAAAGACCACTACCTTAGTACTTGTTTTCAATAACTGAAAGAAATTCGAGGGATATTTTCACTTTTCCTGGGGTGGGGGAGGTGATGAAAAGTGAAACTAGCGTTCAGCAAAACTTATGTTGCAGCAAGCCCTTAGAGTGGCATCACCAAGCTCCTGCCCAGGGAATTACACTCAGCATCACATCATTAAGCCACAGTAGTTTTGAACTGTGTCTGAGAACACTATATGTTAATGTGACTTGGTTTGTTATTTTTTGGGGTCTCTGAACACTCAAAATTTTTTCCATATAACCTCTGGTAGCATAGTGCCTAAGGCACGTAACTGCTAACCAGAAAGCAGCCGGTTCAAACCCACCAGCCACTTCTCAGAAGGAAGGTGGGGCAACCTACTTCCGTATTAATACCACATCGGAAACGAAAGGAGGGTTCGCTATGAGTCGGGTCCGACTTGACATCACATAACAACAATAACAAAACTAATGGTGATTGTTTATTCGCTGTACACATTTTCGGCTTACAAAAAGTTTTATAGGAATGCTCAACTTTCAGTCGGGGCCAACTGGATGGCAAATAACAGGGCCATTTGTAATAGAATAGAGTAAACGTTAGGGGGCAGCAGTAAGCTTCACTTCCAGTTGTTGTTGTTGTTATGTGCCCTCGAGTCAAATCCGACTCATAGTATATTGCTTAATTTTGTCCTCATACAAGTTTTGTTTTTGTTTTTTTTTAAAAAAAACTTCTTTTAGGAGACAGATCCATAGCCTTTGGGTGTGCATCTCTGTATTGGATCATTGAAACCTTAAAACCGTTCTCTGAAACTTTTTTAGCCCCCAACTATATTTTCTTATAACTTTTATTGTTTTCACTTATTTAAAAGAATATTGTTGAAAATTTGGTAGTTACAAAAACACAAGTAAAATAAAATAATTGCCCATAGTTATTGAGAAATAACATTTTGGTTAATATTCTTCCATATTTTCTTGAAAAAATATTTGTAGGATTTTTTTTTTAATGAAATTGAGATCATATTGTATATGCTGTTTCATATTTAATGCATTTGGATCACTTTAACATGCTGCTAAATATGCCTTTATAACATGCTTCTATAATAGCTGCTTAATAATACTTTGAATAGTTAATGTCATATATTAGATCCTGCTCTAACTGTGGCAGCTGTGTTAACTCATGTATTCCTCACAACAACAGTATGAGTTAGGTGCGATTATCCTTATTTTAAAGATGGGGAAGCTGAAGCACAGACATATTAAGAAGCTTGTCCAGGTATATATACTAGCAAGTGGCAGAGTGTGGTACAGTGAATTGCTTGATGTATGGCCATGGCCTTCATGACTTCCACCAGATGACTGGGTGGGACTGTGCAAATGTGAGGTGCTTGTGGACCACTGAGGGAATTGGATAGCTTGCTAGTAATGTAAATAGAGGCATGGTACTCTTGTGGGGGTGGGACATGCAAATAAGGTCTAAAGAACCATAATGTAGAGATTGGTCAGTTTTGCCATCTTGTGAGCCTTAAAATGAGGCATCTGAGGTGGAAAGGGGGGCCTGACTAACAATAATAAGAAGAGAGAGATGAGCAGAGCACGTCGTTTGGACCCGGAGTCTCTGTGTTGGGAACCTTGTCCACTCAGGAGACAGCTGAAGACACAAGAAGCAGAGAGCAGAACCAAGATACTGGCAGGAGGTGGTGCAGTGGGCTTCAAGAACCACAGAGTAAGAAAGCTGAGCTCCTTCAGGCAAGAGGCTTGCTGGCAGAGTAGGATGCCTCCAGGCACCTGGTAGAGCTAGGTTTGCCTACCCAGCTCCACCAGTTTGCTAGAAATTAGCACCTTCTGGGCACATTCAGCAAAGCCAAAAAGAGCTTTGTAACACTTGAGGGAACAGGGTAACATTTGTAGCCAACAGGCTGCAAGGCTGAGAACTTGAGGGACAGAGAGGCATGCCTGCAGGCACTGCTAAAAGGAAGCTATCTGTATTGAAGAACTGTAACCTGAGTCATTCCTGATCCTGAATTGTTACCTATTAACTACCTTAATAAATCCTGTAATCATGAGTATTGTTTGTGAGTTTTGTGTGGGCATTGCAATGAATTATTGAACCTTACAGAGAAGTTGAGAGTACTGTAAGAGGGACATTTGATCTCAGGTTGGTTAAAAGGTTAGAGGGTGGACCTCTGCTTATGGGAATTAACCTTGGGTGGTTGTTCTTGATCCTCCTCGCCCTTTGTGAAGGGGTCAGATACCACTGCCACACCATTCTTGCGCAGTTAGTATTTGAACTTGAGCTATTTATTTAGACTGTATGCATTGTATTATTTATTATAGATGTTATACCTATGTATGTTTACATTAATCTGTTATGTATAATTTCTTTGTAGAATATCCTTTATTTATTCAGTCCCCTCGCTTTGGATATTTAGATTTTTACCAGGTTTTTTTTTTTTCCTTAAAAATGCTTCAATGAAGGTGAAATCCTTCTAAGTTAATCTTTATTCATCTCATATTTTAGACTTTATTCATACAAGAACTATTGAGTCAAATTCTACCTTTGAAATATTTGGCTGTTGTCTTTATGACTTGGTTATCAGGTGCTTATCTAGTTATCTACTGCTTCTATAACAGAAATACAACAAATGGATGGCTTTAGTAAACAAATTTATTCTCACAGTTTAGGAGGCTAGAAGTCCAAATTCATAGCACTAGCTATAGGGAACTTTCTTCCTGTCAGCTCTAGGTGAAGGTCCTTGTCTCCTGTGAACGTCTGTGGGCCTGGTGTTCCTTGGAGAGCACTGTGTATCTTGGCATCAGTCTTCCTCTGGTCTAGGAGGTTCTCAGCACAGGGACTTCGGGTCCAAGGGATGCACTCCTTTCCCACCTCTTTCATGGTGGTAGTCAGGTTCCTCTCTCTGCTAGCTTCTTTTCCTTTTGTCTCTTATAAGATAAAAGATGATGCAGGCCACACCCCAGGGAAACTTCCTTTGGATGGATCAGGTACGTGATTTGATGAAGGGTGTTGCATCCCACCCTAATTCCCTTACAACTAATTGGCTGATCACATCATGGAGGTGATTATATCATTAACATAACTGAAAATCATGGCCCAGGCAAGTTGACACATTTTTGGAAGACACAGCGCAATTCATGACAGATAGGATTACACTCCAGAAAGAGTATACCATTTTTCATTTTCACCAATAATATCCTTTACACTGTTATTCTAATCTTTCCCACATTAATAGGTGACAGAGGCCATGACATTATTTTACTTTGCTGTTTTCAATGATTATTTAGCTTATACATGTTTTTATTAACGATTTTTATTTCTTTGGCATTGCATGTTAAGTTAAAATGCATTTTAAAGATTAGTCCTATAGGAAGACCTTTATAGAACTGGGGGATTAAGAAACAGCCACAAAAACAATGATTAAAAAAAAAGAATCAAGTTTTGTAAAGTAATTTATATCACATTTTCTTTAGATGTTTCAGTGTAATTATATTTTTTTTTTTTCTTATAGTTGACATCCTGCTAAAGGCTGTGGGAGATACCCCTATTATGAAAACAAAGAAGTGGGCTGTAGAGCGAACTCGAACCATCCAAGGACTCATTGACTTCATCAAAAAATTCCTTAAACTTGTGGCCTCAGAACAGTTGGTATGAGATCAATATTGGTCATATCCCTACAAAAATGTCATTCCTTAGGGCAATGAACACTAACTGTTGCATATAGAAATGCATATGGATCCACCTATGTTATTTTGTAATGTCCTTTTATGTCTTTTCCTGGTAGAACCTCTGCTTTATTAAAGAATTGCATGGAACCCTGACGTGAAATTAATTTTACATTTACTTTTACAGTAAGAACCAATTTTTTTTCCCTATATCATTGGTGGTTTTCCACAGAAGGTCATTGAATATCCATGCAGAAAGATGTGTCTATAGGATATTAGTACAGAAAGTTTTTTTTTGTTTGCTTGATAATTAATGTTTCTTTTTTTCCATTTTTACTGAGGTAAACAATATATTTTAGCCGTATGTTACGAAAGAACTTAAGGTATCTATACCATAGTATATGTTAAGTATTTAATGGTGGCAATTGTAGTAAGAGTTAATACTTTAAATGCCACTGGTTTTTAACTTGGTACAGGTATTCCCAGCTTTTTGAAAGTTCACTTAATGCCACTTTGCTTTTATGAAAGACCTACATTAGTATTTGTTTTTACTAACTAAAAGAAATCTGAAGAGGATTTTTGCTTTTATGAAAAGCAAAACAAGCATTCAGTATTTGTTTTGCAGCAAGCCGTTAAAGGGTCATTGTGCACCATGAGCCGTGAGAGTGGCTTCACCAAGCTCCTTCCCTGGAAACAATTCAGTATCTCATCATCATTTCTCCATGGCTTTGAACTGTGTCTGTGAACACTATATGTTAAGTGTTATTTTAGATTTTATGTGTTATTTGATATGATTTGGTAGGTTATTTTTTGAGCCTGGGAATGCTCAGAATTTTTTCCCATATAAATTCATGGTAATTGCTTCTTCATCTTTGCCATTTCAGCATACAAAAAGGTTTCATCGGAACACTTTACTTCAGATAGCAAGAAACTTGTATCTGGATACAGAAATTTAAATGTTTACATGCTTGTGGCATCTTTTGAGTGTTGTAATAATGTGTCAGACACCTTTTCCTACATAAAAATCAAAATTTTAGCACTGTATTAACACAGTATATGGGTAGATAGGTAGATGGAGAATCAGTAGGTACTTTAAAAATACAAATTTGTATTTATAAATGTTGGGGAAGGCTGTGAGGAGCTCTGGTGGGATAGTGAGTAAGACATTTGGCTGCTAACCAGAAGGTCAGTGGTTCAAACTCACCAGCTTCTCCATGGGAGGAAGATGAGGCAATCTACTTCCATAAAGATTTACAGCCTTGGAAACCCAACGGAGGTCCTCTATGAGTGGAATAGATTTGATGCCATTGGGTTTAGTTTTGGTTTTTTTGGAAGGATATACTTATTTGCTTATAAACAATATGAGAAGGGATAAAATGAGCAAATTGTTCATTATTAAAATGGGACATGTTTGATTTATTTTGTCAGTGAGAAGGAAGAAACTTAGTTCAAGAGTTTGGTTGTATGACTCATAAAAGGGACCTTCAGAGTAAAAGCACATGTGCTGAAAACAGAACCAAATAACAAAGTAGAAAAGGAAAGCCTGAAAATAGCCAACAGCTATTCACTGGAATGAACAGTGGGCCAATTTGAGGATAGTGGTTGAAACTCAGAGAGGTTTTACCCTCTCCGATAGCAGATGATTACAGTATATTTTCAGTAAGGAGAACTGAAGAGTCTGGAATCATCCAGTGCTTGAGAGCCCTTAAAATAGGCCCATGGAGCTCCCTAGGACAGGACTCCACACTGCAGAGAAAATTCTAGAAGTGAAATCAAATTATGAGCAGGTAAGGCACATAAGAGAGAAAGGAAAATGAAGGACCATCAAAGTAGAGGAGAACAGCTTGAAAAGCTCAGAAAGCAGGCCACTATATTTTTAAACGCTATGCAGAAACAACAGAAGAAGGATCTCTGTGAAGTTAGAAAAGCTATCTGGAAACTGTCTCCATCTAAAAGTTGAAGAAAACTAACTTCACGTAAAAAATGAACAAAAGAGAACTATCAAGGTCAAATCCCAAACAATGTTGTTTTGAGAAAAAGAATAAATAGCATCTCCTTACAATGAAAGCGTGCCAGAAAGATGTACATACAAAACTATAATTTAACTATATCACAAGCCTAAAAGTTATTAAGAAAATGATACAAGATATGAAGAACACCATAAATCAACATTAGAAAAATTCAAGTGACAAATCTCAGGAAAATACAGATAAATTATTTTTCAAATGGAGACTAAACTAGAAGGAATGTAAGAGCAAATAAACATCAGATAGTATCTTAGAAGTAGAAGCAAAACCAGAATTTTTAAAAAAATGAATGTAAATGAAAGTGACAAATACTGAGAATGAGCAAAAGAGAGCAAATATATAGATAATAGGAGTTCCTAAGTAAAAATCAAAGCAAAGGAACAGAATAAATACTAAAAACTAAAATTCAAGGAAACTTGCCTAAAATAAAGATTTGAAGCTACATACTTGGTGTGTTTTCAGACATAGAACGTACTTTCCAGAACACAAAGGAACATTCTGTTAGTACTACTGGACTTGAAAGAAAAAGCAAAAATCTTTTGGAAACTAAGAGAAATAAAGAGGGCCTGACTTATGGGGGAAAATATTTAAATTGTCATCAAACTTTGACTGCAAGGATATTAAAAGGAAAGAATGAGATACGGATTTTGTATCTTGCAATACTGCCTTCCAGTCCCAGGACAAACTATTAACAATGTGCAAGAACTCAGGGATACTGTTTCCCTTCCAGAGAAATCTACTGAAGAAAGAGCATTGCTGCTGTTCAGTGCTCTCAACTCACATCTGACGCCTATCAACCCTGAGCACAACAGAACAAAACACTGCCCAGTCCTGTGCCATCCTCACAGTCATTGCTGTGTTTGAGCTCATTGCTGCAGCCACTTTGTCAGTCTATCTTATTGAAGGAAGGTCTTTCTCTTTTTTGCTGACCCTCTGCTTTGCAAGTGTGGTGCTGTAAGTTACTTAATGTGGTCTTTGTAGCTCTCACCAAATCCCTAGGTGGAACTGTGCAAACGTGAGGGAGGTGCTTATGGCCTATCAGTTGTTTAGCTTGCTTATAATTTGCATGGCACCGTTGTCAGAGTGCGACCATGCAAATAAGGTGTATGGAACCCTAATGTGGGGTTGGTCAGTTTTGCCATCCCACTAGGCTTAAAAATGAGCCATCCCAGAGGCAGAAAAGGGGAATCTCACTACCACCAAGAAAGAAGAATGAGGATTAGACACATCCTTTGGACCCAAGATTACTTCACTGAACCTCCTCCATACAGGAGAGAGCTGTGACACCAGACATAGCAAAAAGCAGCAACAGCAGAACCAAGAGACTGTCAGGATACAAAGCAGTGGGCTTACCAGCCCATGGAGCAAGAAAGCTGAGTAACTTTGGGCAAGAGGCTTGCTGGTGGAGTGGGGTGCTTCTAGGCAATTATCCTTGGAACTAGGCTCACTTGCAGCAAAAAGAAGCAAGGTTATGTCATCTGCATATCGAAGGTTGTTGATGAATCTTCCAATTATGATGCTGTATTCATCATATAGTCTAGCTTACGGAGTAGAGTGCCTCTGAGGACTTAACATCAGATCGAAAGGACCTTTTAATACTTGCGACAAAAGTCAAGGGGCCATGAGGCCTAGAGGCCAAGGGCCAGAGAGAGGCATGCCTACAGGCACTGCTGAAAAGGGACTTTCCTGTTTGAAGAACTATATGTTGAGTCATTTCTGATCCCGAATTGTAATATGTTGTTGGTAGGTCCCATCGAGTCGGCTCCAACTCACAGCAACCCTGTGTACAGTGAAACAAAACATTGCCTGCTCCGACGCCAGCTTCACAATCCTTGCAATACCTGGGCCCATTGTTGGCGGCCACTGTATCAATCCATCTCAGAGGGCCTTCCCCTTTTTCATTGACCCACCACTTTATCAAACATGATAACCTGCTCCAGGGAATGGCCCCTTCTGACAGCATGACCAAAGTGGGTGAGACCAAGTATGGCCATTCTCACTTTCAAGGACCATTCTGACTGTACTTCTTTCAGAACAGATTTGTTCATTCTTCTGGCAGTCCATGATACTTTCAGTACTCTTTGCCAACACCACAACTCAAAGGCATCAACTTTTCTTTGGTCTTCTTTATATTCATTGTCTAGCTTTCACATGCATATGAGGTGATTAAAAACACCATAGCTTGGGTTAGTCGCACCTTACTCTTCAAAGAGGTATCTTTGTTCTTCACCACTTTAAGGAAGTCACTTGAAGCACATTTGCACGATGCAATACATCATCTTGATTTCTTGAATGGTTTTTTCATTGGTGTTGATTGTGGAACCAAGTAATATGAAATCTTTGACAACTTTAAGCTTCTCTCCATTTATCATGATGCTCCTTATTGGTCCAGTTGTGAGGATTTTTGTTTTCTTTATGTTGAGGTGTAATCCATACTGCAGACTATAGTCTTTAAACTTCATCGATAAGTGCTTCAGATCATCTTCACTTTTAGCAGGCAAGGTTGTGTCATCTGCATATCGCAGGTTGTTAATGACTCTTCCTCCAGTCCTAATGTTCTTCATACAGTCCTTTATTCTTCATATATTCCACTTCTCGGATTATTTGCTTAGCATACAGTTTGAATAAGTATGGTGAAAGGATACAAACCTGACGCACACCCTCCTGGATTTTAAACCACACAATATCTCCTTATTCTATTTGAATGACAGCCTCTTGGTCAGTGTACAGGTTCCCCATGAGCACAATTAAATGTGCTGGAATTCCCATTTTTCTCAGTTTTATCCCTAATTTGCTATGGTTCACAACAGTCGAATGCCTTTGCATAGTCAATAAAACACAAGTAAACATCTGCCTGGTATTCTTTGCTTTCAGCCAAGATCTGTCTGACATCAGCAATGATATCCCCCTTCTGAATCCAGCTTGCATTTCTGGAAATTCTCTGTCAATATATTGCTGAGACTCTTTCTGAATTATGTTCATCTAGATTGTACTTGGATATGATATTGTTTGATAATTTCCACCTTCAGTGGGATCACCTTTCTTTGGAATGGGTACAAATGTGGATCTTTTCCAGTCAGTAAATTTCTTGCCATAGATGAATAAGTGCCTCCAGCACAGTATCCGTTTGTTGAAACATCTCAGTGGGTATTCTGCCAATTCCTGGAACCTTGTTCTTTGCCACTTCCGTCAGGGCAGTTAACGACTTCTTCCTTCAGTACCATTGGTTCTTGATCATATGCCACCTCCTGAAATGGATGTCATCCAGTTCTTTTTGGTACAATGACAGTGTAACCCTTCCATCTTCTTTTGATATTTCCTGCATCATTCAATATTTTGCCCATAGAATCTTTGAGTATTGCAACTCAAGGCTTGAATTCTTTTCTGTAGTTCTTTCACCTTGAGAAATGTCGAGTGTGTTCTCTTTTGGTTTTCTAACTCCAGGTCTCTCCACATTTTATTATAGTAATTGACTTTGTCTTCTCAAGCTGCTCTTTGCAATCTTCTGTTCAGCTCTTTCACCTTGTCATTTCTTCCATTTGCTTTAGCTTCTCCCTATTCAAGAGCAGGGAACTCTGGTGGCATAGTGTCTAAGGCATTTGACTGCTAACCAGAAGGCTGGTGGTTCAAACCCTCCAGCCACTCCTCAGAAGGAAAATTGGGTAATCTATTTCCGTAGTGATACCACCTCGGAAACCCAAGGAGGGGTCGCTATGAGTCGGATCCGACTCAACAGCATTGCAATGGGTATTCAAGAGCAAGTTTCAGGGTCTCTTCTGACATGCATTTTGGTTTTTTCTTCCTTTCCTGTCTTTTTAATGAACTTTTGCTTTCTTCATGGATGATGATGTTGATTGTCATCCCACAATTCCTCTGCTTTTCAGTCACTGGTATTCAGTGCATCAAATCTATTCTTTAGATGGTCTCTAAATTCAGGTGAGATATCATCAAGGGCATATTTTGGCTTTTGTAGACTTGTTTTAATTGTCTTCAACTTCAACTTGAACTGACATACGAGCAGTTGATGGTGTGCTCCACAGTCAGCTCCTGCCTTTGTTTTGGCTGAAGATGTGGACCTCCTCCATCCCCTCTGTGCACATATGTAGTCTATTTGATTACTGTGTAGTCCATCTGGCAAAGTCCACATGTATAGCTGCCATTTATGCCATTTATGTTGTTGAAAAAAAAGTATTTGGGTACTTGCAATGAATAATTCGTTGGCCTTGCAAAATTCTATCGTGCAATCTCCAGCATCATTTCTGTCACCAAGACTACATTTTCCAACTACTGTTGATTGAGTAATGGTGTTACTTTCCTAATAAACCTCATAACCATGCAACAAATTATTGAATCCACCACAGATTTAGAGAGTGTCATGGGAGGGACAGTTGATGTCAGAATTAGTAAAAAAGTTGAAAAGTGGAGGCATATCTGACCTCTGTCACATAGGAATCAGCCTTGGGTGGTTTATCTTGATCCTCCTGCTTATGAAGTTAGAGGAGGTCAGATGCTGTTGCTACACCATCTTTACACCAAGTATGCTATCCTTTTCTAGGAACTGATCCCTCTGGATAACATGTCCAAAGTAAGTGAGATAAAGTCTGGCCATCCTCACTTGTAAGGAGCATTCTGTCTATAACTCTTCCCAAACTGATTTGTTTCTTCTGCCCGTGCATGGTATATTCAGTATTCTTTGCTAACACTATAATTCAAATGCATCAGTTCTTCTTTGGTCTTACTTATTCACTGTCCAGCTTTCACAAGCATATGAGACTATTGAAAATACCATGGAGTGGGTCAGGTGCACTTTAGTCCACAAAATGTTATCTTTGTCATATAATGCTGCAAAGATGTATTTACAGCAGATTTTCCCAATACAATAAATTATTTGATTTCTTGACTGCTGCTTCCATGGGCATTGATTGTGATCGAAGTAAGATGAAATCCTTGATTACTTCAGTCTTTTCTCCATTTGTTATGATGTTGCTTAATGGCCCAATGTTTTGTCTAGTGCATTTTTGTTTTCTTTATGTTATTAAGTGTAACCCATACTGAAGCCTTTGATCTTTATCAGAGAGACAAGTATTGATTGGGTGAAAAGAAAGGCAGTGTACCAAATGTGAGTGATCAACACAGCTGCTCCAGTAGATGCCACTATGGACTTATTTACCAATCTCACCATGGGGAATAACTACATCAGCTGCCCAGCCACTCAAAACCAGGCCCAGCCAGGTTGACACACAACCTTAACCTACTACACTTAATCAGCCTTAACTGTGAAATATTTTTAAATAATGTAACGGTAATTTCTAATGTCTATTGAGTGCTTACACACTATGAAGCAGGCACTCATATTTGAAAGATTTTATCTCATCGATGGCAGTGTGTTTTTGGTTTTGTTTGTAGCATCCTGAAGAGTCATAAAGCCAAAACCTATTTCTACTGAGTCAAATTCCGAATCATAGTGACCTTACAGGGCAGAGTAAAACTGCCCCATAGAGTTTCCAAGGCTGTAAATCATTACAGAAGCAGACTGCCTCATCTTTCTCCTGAGGAGTGACTGATGGAGTTCCAACTACCACTTTTGGCTAGCCAAGCACTTAAACACTGTGTCATCAGGCCTCCTTCCCAAGAGATAAAAGCACTGGTATTTTCTGTCCTACAGGTAAGGAAATAAGCTGAGAAAAGTTACGTGTATTTAGAGGCAGTATTTGAGGTCACATTTTTCTCAGTAGAGCCTGTATTGCTTAAGAAAAAACAGTAAATAACATTTATTCTTGTTGAGGAACAGGATAGTGTCAATCAACCAACTATACTGATAAGAGTTACTTTTAAAAAAGACTATGTTAAGCCTGGAAATTTTAGTCTTAGAATTTGAATGTAGACATTAAAAGGAATATTGAATGTTACCTGAAAATATTTTGTTTTCTAAACAGAAAATTATCAAAAGCCACTTTATGATCTTTTGTTTCAACATCTTAAAAAATTTTTTAATTACTAGAAATATTTTGTAAAAATAGACTAAACAGTCTGAAACATTGAACAATGGGTCCTTTAAAGAATAGGGTTATAAGGACATTTGGTTTTACTTATGTTACATTGTTCCTGCTGCATTTGGCTACAAATGAGGATAGTAGTGATGCATAGCCTGAAGTCCAATGTCTTTAAGAATTCCCAAAGGTCAAAAAGGTCAAAAGCAGCCCTGTGTTACACATTTACCCAAGGTAAATGCACAGATTATAAATACTAGATTTCTTGAGTTTTGGCTCTGAAATTTTGTTAGCAGAAATTCTGCCTTTAATTACAGGTAAAAGAAAAATAATAAATTTTATCATGTATTGTCTTGAATAACTCTTCAAAAGCTACTGAAAAAAAATTTTAAGTGTCTTTGTTATAGAAAGTTGAGAAACACTGTTTTAAGAATAAAAATTCTATAATTTTGGACCTTCTGAGGAAAGATGTGATTTTCATAGTTACCATTAATTAGCTAATTTATGAAAATTAGGTTTTTAAGGGAGTTTTCTTCACTTCTGAAGACAGAGAATTTAAAATAACTAGCTGATTGGAACCCAGAAAAAAATAGTTTAATCAAGATGTCGTTAGAAATCAATCTCCTTAATTTTTATTTTTTTCCTTTCTTATAGTTTATTTATGTGAATCAATCCTTTGCCCCTTCCCCAGACCAGGAAGTTGGAACGCTCTATGAGGTAAGAAAAAAAAAACCTGGTTATTGCCTTTTTTTCTTAATCTGTCACATCTGTGTACAGTTTGATCATTCACGTCTCTAAAGATAGGCATGCTATTCTTAATTGTCTACAAAGGAAAGAAGATATGACTGCCTTATTCTGTTCCTTCTAACACCTTAAATGTAGTAGGATCTCGTTTATACAAGAAAGAAGAATCAAAGAATGTGTAATACAAACTAAAGATGGCTTTGAAGTATTCTCAAAGTAAGGTTCTCTTCTTTATACCTACAATCAGAAATCCCATTCTTCGAAGGAACTGAAACAAATTACATGCAATCGACACTATTCATTCTTCTTAAAATTTGATAATACTAATGTTAAAGTATAGATAGCACCACTACCAAAAAAGCAGGTGAAGGTATGTACATTGTGGATGGAGATGAGGAGAGGGCACATTATTAAAATATGTAAGCTCATTCATGCCTCTGATAATAAAAGCGTAAGTTTTAAGTCAACATTTATGATTATTGGTAATGTGTGTCTGATAGTAACATGAATCTCTTAAAGGAAATAATCTTACAGGTATTTTGCATGTGCAAGGATATTTATGATACATGTGATATTTTTTTCCCTTTCATCTAAGAATAACAGAATTTAATGTATTGGGGTTTTTTTTGTTTGTCTTGTTTTCTTTTTTTTTCTGTAGTGTTTTGGCAGTGATGGTAAACTGGTCCTACATTACTGCAAATCTCAGGCTTGGGGGTGACCTATAAAGAAAACAACTTGCTATTCAAATTAATCTTCACAAAAGAAACAGCTCTGAACAGCTTTGGTGCTTGTAGCAAGAGACTAAGGATAATGATCTACTATCAGCATGTATCTACGATGGCTAACGTTTATGCGTAAGGAACCGTCCATTCAGTGTACTCCCAAAAATACAACTTGTGCACAACATTATAAAAGGGTATTCCTGTTGCTACTGTAGTCAGTAATTTAAACTGCTCCAGAATACTGAAAAGTAGATTAAGACTATATAAAGCTTCTTTGTTCCAGGTTCTTAAAATGATGAAAATTATTCACTTATTGTATTAGCACTTTTGCTATTTTTCACTGTAAAAGTTTATTTACTAAAGGTTGGTTTTTTTGTTTCGTTTTGTTTTTTTTTTTTTAATAACTTATTTAGGGAAGTTCAGTTTGTTTGTGGTATGGAATGTGACTTTTCTCATATGCATTTACTCTACTGTGTTATTTTCTTGTAAAACAAAGTAGCATTCACTTACAGGCTTTATACCTTACACGGACCAGTGGAGAGCAGCCCCCCTGGCAGAAAGGGTTAGGAAGTTGGTTTAACTTTATTGCCAGCCATGGAGGAAAAGCTATTCCTGATAGTTTCTAGTAAACAGCCAGGATAGCAGGCATTTTGACAAATTGGGAGACTGCCTTAGAGAATATAGTCTAAAAGTCAGAGAACCATTTTACTGATGCTATTAGGTGATTCCTTAAAGTGAGACTTGACTTACTCCTTCATTCTGTATTATGTTTGTAATACAGCATTAAAATAAAATCCCATTCAGCTAAATAACAGATTGACTCATAAAATAAACAAGGTCACTCATGAGTGCTATGCTCTAAAAATTCATCTATATGTGATCAAACATCAACATTTACCCCAAAGCAAAGATAACAGGACAAGTGGGGAGTGGGGCAGGGAAACTAGATTAATGGAAATGGAACAACCATAATGGAAATAATGAGACTGTTGACACATTGTGAAAAATATAATCAGTGTCACTGAACAATATGGAAATTGTTAAATGGGAACATAATTGGCTGTGTAAACTTTCACCAAAAAACACAATAAAATATTTCAGTACTATGCTACATTAAAGGAGTTCTGGTAGCATAGTGGCTAAGACAATTGACTGCTAACCAGAAGGCTGGCGGTTGAAACCCAAGGAGGGGTCACTATGAGTCGGGTCCGACTTGACGGCACATAACAACAACAATGCTACATTAAAGAACAATTAGGGATACACGAATCATCACACAATGTGGATGAACCTGGAGGACATTATGCTTAGTGAAATAAGTCAATCGCAGAAAGACAAGTACTATATGAGCCCATTACTGTAAAAAAGACAGAGAAGGGTTTGCTTGGAAAGGGAACTCACTTAGTAGGTTACCAGGATGGGGAGGGAAGGAGAGGGATTAATTTTGGGCTAGTTGGGGCCTACACGCTGACATGGGTAGGGGGAGGGATATATGGGAAGGATCTATGACCACCATGGTCACATTAAGAAATGGGAGGACACCGAATTTTGCACATAAAAGATAAACAACAGATGCTAATACCAACCAATGTGTCCACAATACTGCATTGCCATTAACACCAAACACTAGGCTATACAGATAAATACATAAACACACCTGAGATGATCAGATGGGGGTCGATGAACAGAAGTATGCTAGACCAAGGATAGATTCAGCCGAGGCTAATCTTGCACAGACACCAGTGATACAAAACACCTGCAGTCCTTAACAGAAACAGTAGAAGACAGACAGAGTAATCCCTCACAGATAACCAGACACTGTGGGAGAGAGATCCAATAGATCTTCTGTCTCAGGACCATAGTACTGGGGGACACCAGACTCAGTTGGCACAACAAAATACATAAAAGCGTTGCTCCGCATCCTACATTGGTGAGTAGTTACTGGGGTTTTAAAAGTTTTCAAGCAACCGTCTAAGATGCAGGTAATGGTCTCCTAGTGTCAGAATTGAAGAACTGTGCAAAAAAACAAGGGAATTTGGAGCAATCAGCCCTAGGACATGATGGCCCTCGAGACCAGAAGAACTAGATGGTGCCTATCTACCAATGCCAACCACTTAGGAAAGGATCAAATCTGGAGATCCTGGATAGAGTGGGAGGGAAAACATGGAACAAAATCCAAAAACTCAGTGACCAGAATTACTGGTCAGATGAAATCTGGCTAGACTCCCAATACTGTGCCTGGAATAAAACGTACCCCCAGGGGCTGGCTGTCAGCCCAATAGTTAACAAGATGTACACACAGACCACTCAACCCAGGATGACGCACTCACATACTCAATGGTAATACGTCCCTTAGAGCAATAGACCATGGGACACCAGAGGACCAACATTCAAATTGAGGAAATACAGAACAAAGAGGAGTGCATAAATACCACAGGGAGAAGTAAAGGGTAGGGAGGGAAGGAGACTGGGTTAGGGTTGGACATGGTATATGGGGAATGAAACTAAATGTACACGTTACATTGAATGTAAAACAAGCTCTTAAAAAGTCACACTGAAAAAAAAAAAATTCCAATAAATTGAATGGAACATCCAAATGGGATCTAAGATGTATACTAGAAATACAAGTGTTTATTTTCAGAGGTAATAGTGGGAATGTGATTTTCAAAGACTACATTAATGCCCCTTAAATCCCAGAATGCATTTCATGGTTAATGATCTGCCATATATTAGCATTAGGAGAAGCTAAAGGACAACTCGGTTTACAGTGTTGAAATCATTGTTCATTTTTATTTTTTGCCTAAGAATGTGAATTCTTGAGTCCCCTTATGTCAGTGTCCCTGTGTAATGAGTTAATAGAGCTGATACTTAGCATTAAAATAATACTGTCATACTGGATTTTACAGACTTAAACGAGGTAAGAAATATGTATATATACTGAATTGGGGGGGGGGAGCTAATTGCCATCAAGTCGAATCCGACTCATAGCGACCCCTTCTTGGGTTTCTGAGGCAGTATCCCTACAAAAGTAGATTGCCCAGCATTCCTTCTGAGGAGTGGCTGGTGGGTTTGAACCACCAGCCTTCTCATTAGCAGTCAAGTAAGTGCCTTAGGCACTATGCCACCAGAGTTCCCATTGTTGGGAAAGCAAGTTTTATTTTGAAGTCAAATAGGTTGGATAAGGAAAAGGTCTGTTCTCTAGCTTTGTCCACTTATAGTTTCTTGAAGGGAGTGAATATATTTATTTATATACATATATTTAACAAACAAAAATACATTGAATTTATGTATTACATTTGTTTCTAGGATTTGGGGTGATCTAATACTACTACCTCAGCAATCAAAAATACTTGAGTTTGAATTTTTAACATCAAATTTTTATTTTAAATCAGTAATTTCAGTTTATTAAATCTAAGGTTAACTAAATCTGTTATACCTTGTTATACTCATGCACTGCGTATTGTCTGTTGAGCAGTGTCCTAGCACACATACATGTCCACAGTTCCATAGGTTATAATAGAGTTCAGAAGTTACTATCAGGGAACCGGGTGTAGTGGATGTAGTTGGATAGGTGAATGCAACAGCTTCCTGCACAGCGTGTGTCTGTCATGTCTGTTGTATACAAAGTGATTGCACTGCCAGGCGTATAATGGTGCAGTGCATATGTAACCTGTAATACATATATCTTGATAGTCAGACAGATATGTTACAGGCATACGTATGAACTGTACTTTCTATCGTTACTTTAATGTGAACTTTCCCTACATACAAATAAACACTTTTTCATATAACACTGTATGCTTCAACATGTAGGCACCAGCATCCAGTCTTGTGTATCACATGTCTAGAGTCTTGTAACATTATCTGTTTAATTTTCTTTTAAAAAATATCATAAAGTGTATCATGGCCCAAACGCAGCAAAACCAATGTTAGTTATAACAGCAGCAAGTGGCAAAGGAGAAGTGTCAATTTGGAGGGTAACAAAAGGTTATTAAACATGAAGGTGTGGAAAATCGGTGAATGCTATTGCTCAAGATTCAAGCGTGTATGTTCACCCAACACCCAAATCTCATAAGGTCCCGTTTTACAGAAGAAACATGGATGTTAAGTTTCATGTGACTATACATAGGGATTTATATTTTTAAAAACTATATTTACATTATTATCTCTATGAAATAAAAAAGTTTTCTGTACTAATTTTACATTTACTTGTAAGCTTGGAATCCATAAATTACTGAGTGACTAGAATCTAAAAAGATTCAGTCACATTTTTGCATGCACCTAGTAGTTGGGCAATCTACTTCCGTCGTGATAACGCTTGGGAATCCCAAGGAGGGGTTGCTATGAGTTGGGTCCGACTGGAGAGCACATAACAACAACAAGTTTAAACTGCCTTAATTTTAATTTTGGCAGGAAAAAAGCTAAACCCTCAGGTTATATTTTAAATTTTCCATATTTATGAGAAAATAAATGTCAATAAGGTCACGCTTTATTGTATGGTGCAAGAGTGCTCCCACCTTTAAAGGTACCTAGTCTAAAGACTTCATAATCATTTCTCCATATTTGGGGTATAAGATAAAAATGTTTATCTGTATGGTGCCCAGCTACCACTGTCAACCATTGAGAGGAGGATCAGTGCAGGAGATCCTGGATAGAGTGGGAGAACAATGTGAAACAAAACTCAAAATCATGAAAAAATAAGACCAGGTTTGCTGGTCTGATAAAGCCTGAAGCAACCCCCTTAGCTTATGGCCCCTAACCACCCTTCTGGTCTGGAATTGAACTCACTCCTGTGGCTTCCAACCAAACAATAAACAGTCACATGGGGTGAACATATCCATCAGGTAGGTAACAATACTTGGAGTGATCAGTCATGGGTGAAGGGCAGTGTGTGCATGGTGAGACAGCTCAAGGTGAGAGTGCATGGAAGGGAAGGACACAGAATATAGATAACTACAAGGAAGAGACCTGTTACATTGTGGGGAATTACAGTCAGTGTCATGAGAAAAAAATGTATGA